AATAGTTAATGATTTTTCAATAGGTCACTCATGTTTAGCTCTATTTATATTCTTTAGAAGCCACTTTGAAGATACCAAAGTATAGCACAACAACTCTTGATAATCTCCTACCTCTTTTGTCTCTAACTCACTATTATTTGTCTATTTGTTTTCCTGAGAAACTATTTTGTAGATAATAATATGTAAAATGATAAAAAAAAATGTACATTTTTGATGCAACAGTCATTATGAGAAAGCACAAGGAATGATTTTTCTTACAAGTTAAAATTCTGCAACACTCATCAACAGAATAGGTCATATTTAATCTCAATATTTATTTACAACTATTTAATAATCACCTACAAAGATAAAAAAATGTAAATCATTAAGCCCTTAAAAATGAAAGGTAGCCCAAGAAAATAATGTTAATTAAATTTCCATAGCTATTATACCTATTAATATAATCTGGGCATAGTGATATGTGTTTATAATCCCAATTTGTAGTCCCAATTTGGGAAGATGAAGCAGGAGGATCACAAATTCAAGGACAGTGAAGCCTAGCCTTGACTACAGAGAAAGACCCTGTCTCAAAAGCCAAATATACATAATTTTTAAAAAAAATCTCAATTGGTCATTTAAATGACTTCCACATTATTGATGAGGATTCAAGTTAAATGTTTGACACTTACCAGCAAACGGACCCTGTAATAATTTGGCTGATGCTGCCAATATTTTTCTTACTGCTTTGTGAAGTTCTTTTCTTGCCTGCCAGGCAATCCCTAAAATGATTACAAATTTTAAATAAGCACTCTTAATGCTTTTCTCCAATACTTCAAAAAGAAATGCAGGAACCCCCAAATTTTTCATAAAGAATGTACGGTATCTTCATCTTTTTATTATCAGGATCAATACAACTTAAGTCATATGGAAATATAAAGCTCTAGCTTTCAAAATAAGATCATTCTTCAAGTCTTGGAAAAAGTAATAACAAGAACACAAACACTATCAAAACTTTTCATGTATACAATTAGTTTTATGTAGGAAAATGACCCTTACAAGTAGACAAACCAGAACTCAAATTTGGAAATACCTTACTAATGAGATTAAACTTCACTATATAGGTGAATTGTAAGATATACAATAATCTATACAATTGAAACTGTAAACACACCATAAAAGCATGTTGAAAGATAGGAAAGTGATAGAGTAACAAAATAGTGTAGCGATACAGCTCATAGACCTGGAGCAGTGCAGCCTGCCCTACACGAGGACCATAACATGCTCACAGCCTGTCCTGGTCAACAGTGTAGGAACAGGCAGCTGTAAGTCAAGCTGGAGACACACCAAGCTACCCACAGCTGATGAAAATATACTCCTCTGCTGTAAAGTCACACTCACCAAGAAACTCAAAAGGTTTGCACGTGATCTAAATATTGAGAAAAGCAAAGTCCTAACTAGTAAAGCCAGGTTTTTAGCCTTTGTGGCTGCTACTACTAATAAATGAGTTGGTATTTATATTTATAAATCATCTAATGAGTCTTGTTTGTATGAATAAATCCCTTGGAGCAAAGTATCAGTCAAGCATGCTAGTGCAATCCCAACACTCTAGGAGGCTGAGGCAGAAAGATACCAAGTTTGAGCCCAGCCTGGGCAACTTAATGACTTGGTAAGACCCTGTGTCAACTTCTATAAAATTTTAAAAGAGCTGCAGATGCAGCTCAGTGCAAAAGCCCTCAGTTCAATCCCCAGCACTAAAAAAACAAAAAACAAAAAACACCCTCTGACCTAAATGACAAAATCTTGTCTTCGTACTTGCCAAACTGAGGGCCAGCCTCTGAACTAATGGCCCCCACTGAAGAGGGAATTCCAGGTTCAGACTCAAACAACCAGCTACTCTTCCCTCCAATCAGTTCTAGCAGAGTTCCAATCTTGGGTCATATATATAAGTCAAAAAGGTGAAGTTCAATTAATACTTTTCGAACTAGGCTCTCAGTCTTTGCTGATTCATAAAATAAGCTGATTTATCTTCTTAACGCTGCAATTTAAATAGACTCTTTTTATTTTTGAAGACAGGGTCTCTCTATACAGTTCAGGCTGGCCTTGAAATCTCTATGTAGTTCAGGCAGCCTTGAACTCACAGCAATCCTTCTGACTCAGCTTCCCAAGTGCTAGGATTACGGGCATATCTCACCATGCCCTGAAAATAGACTCATTTTGAAATTTAACAACTAGCTACCACTTTCACGAAGATGAGGTTACTTTACAATAAACTTACCATGACTTTCTCTTCTGTCTGAAGAAGCTGTGTGCACATATATGTATGACTTCATTTTTTCTGTTTCTACCACCTCCGTGTCTAATGTCAAAGACTTCTTCAGAGCCAGAATTTCATATGTAAAAAATAAAGAACCTCTTTAAAAAAAAAAAAAACACATAATAAATATATGATCTAAATTAACACAGGTGCTACTCTGAAATTTCTCCTTTATTGGAAATATAACATAGAGTAACCTGGAAATGATATCTTTTTAATGTATGTATACATACACATCTCAATTTAAAATAAAAACAAATAATTGCATAATCATATCCAGGCAAAAAACAGAATATTAACAGTACCCCAAAAGCGAGATATTGTTCCTCTCCTGGACCTAACTTATTTTCTCGTCTCTATAGGTAGTTTTTGTTTTGTTTTTTGCTGGGCATGGTGGCCCACCCCTGTAATCCCAGCATTGTGGAGGCTGAGACAGGAGGACTGGCATGAGTTTGAAGCCAGCCTGAGCTATATACCAAGAACCTAGCTCAAAAAACTAAAACCCGAAAAAAGAAATTATTGTTCTGATTTTTATTATAATTTTTCTCTTTACAGTTTTACCACCTATATATGCAACTTAAACAACAGAGCTCAGTTTTGCCTGTTTTTGAAATTCATGTGAAATGAAATCACACTATGCATATTTTTTATTAGCCTTCTATTTGTGTGATTTACTTATGTTATTGCACGTAAATGTAGTTCCTGCTTTTATATTTTGATATGGTATACAATTGATTCTATCAATTACCACATGTAACATTCAGTTTACCACATGGACATGGGCATATTCACATACAGTATCTAGCTTGAGTCTATTACAAGCAATATTGATGCACATCTTATACACCTACATTGTGCGTACAAGTATATGTGCTTCATCTAAAAGCAAAATTACATACTTTGTGATATATCAACCTCACTAGGTACCAAACTGTTTTTCATATAAGATTAGCCAACTTATACTCCTATCAGCAGCATATAAAGGTTACTCCTTTCCTCAGAGCTATATCCAGTCTATTTTAAATGTGAAATACAGAAGTGTTTGTTCTATATTCAAATAAAGATTTCTTTTTCTTCCTCATCAGACTGACTGATACTTCCCTAAATCCAGACACAAAGGCTGAACTCTCCTGGACCCTAATCTCACCAACCTGTCTTCTGCTGATCTTGGTTGCCACCCTAAAAGCAAGAAAATCCAGACCCAGCCACACCACAGGAATACAGAGAAGACTCCAAAGAATTCTCTGCTCTCTTGGGGATCCATCTGAGCAGGTATGAGGAACAAATGTTATTCTATCCTTTAATCATACTTTCCAAGAAAGACAAAGTTCTTTACTCAAAGTTGTGTGATTTTCACTGTTTTCCTGAAGATAGCTGTAACCTAAACAAGAAACTACATTACAGAAAAGGATACACATTTATCCCTTGCCTAGAATGAGTCAAAGGAAAAAACTAAATATCTACCACATCATAAAGAAATATACTAAGTTGACTTTGTATTAGTGAAACAAGTGCTGTACAGTATTAGACAAACATTCAGCATATATAAACTAAAAAAAAGAAAAATAACAGTTACTAGAAAGAGGGCCAACCCAACCATTGCACATGTGCCTCTGAAGGAGCATAGGATGGCAAAGATCAATCTGCTGGTCTTCTCAGTTGACCTCAATTCCCCTTCTTGAAATCTTTAGGGCAATTTCAGGTATTTCCTTTTTATTAGCAGTAGTATACAGTACTTACACAGAATAATAGGAACATGCACATAACATAGGTTGATCATTCTACTACCACTGCCATCCTTATTTTAGGATTTTCAAAAATAATTTTTAATATTTAAAAAAAATTTATATTTATTAGTTCAAAAAAATTTTTACTAGTCAATTTTTAGCCTCTTCACCCACTTTAGGAGCTAATAAAAGGTGTTGTTTTAAGAGTACAGAGGTTGGCAGAGTGACACTGTGTGTGTGTCAAGCACTCTCCTCACAGCTATAATACCAGGCAGGCAGAAATCCCAGTATACAACTGGACCCAAGGGAAACATGCCCCAGGAAACAGAGTACAGTAACTGAAGATAGCACTGAAGTGGTATAACCATTGATTAAATCACCTCCACTGACATTTCAAAGAGTAGTATAATAAAGCCAACTAGTATTTTGCAGTTGACACTTACCCTAAAATAAGTGATCCAGTAAATTTTATTATATTTCCTTCAAAAAGAAAAGGAAAACGTCAATGTGATGAATTTCATTTTTTAAAGTGTGAAATAGGCAACAGTGTGAATCTCTATTTTGTGTATACTAATTGGGTAAGTTACCGATATGTTTCTATTTATACAATCAGTTGCTATCAACACATGGCATCTCATCACAAGATACAAACCAATCAATAAGCACTTGGTACAAAAATAAAATTTAAATTTATGGCTTTTCATACTCATTCTCCCCTTCCTCCATCTCCTGTTCTACCATCCTCACCAAATCACTAGGGACACTAGTCCCTGTCCCACTACCAGGACTATAGGCTTCCACTGAATGCAACTTCCAGGAAGCTCACCTCCTTCTCATTCCTTTTAGTTAGGAACCAATTAAATAAAGAACTTGGAAGAATTTTCCCTACAAGTAGGACTACACTGAGGGATTAGATATGTCAGGTGGTGACACAAAGTGATATTTCCTGAAGTAATTATGCTATAATTGGTGATTAAGTGCCAATAGGTAGCTCCTCTTAAAATACAGGTTACAAGTTTATAGTAGGTCCCTGATTTAGAAAGCAGTTCTGTTCCAGGAGAATGTTTGTGAGTCAGATTCATTTTAAGTCTGACAAAGTGAGCCTTATACACGGCTTGTTCTGGTAGATGACAAGAAAATCTCCCTTTTCTGTCCCCACTTCTCTTTTTCTGTTTAAAATACAGACTCAATTTCCTCGATAAAAGAATCTATCTTAAAAATAGATCTATTTTAAAGATCAAAAGGCAACTCCATGAAGATAAGAAGATCTTACTTAATATGGATCCTGGGGGCTGAGAAAAGTATCTACCACATGGTCCATGGTCGACACATGTTGCTTTTTATCAAATGAATGAAATGAGCTAAACCAACATTCTCATTTTACAAATAAACAGTGCTCAGAGAAAGCAAGATATTCCTTTCATTCAAAAAAAAACACTAGACAGACACTTTCCATACGCCATATATAATAGTAAACAGGCTATAATGATAAACAAGAAACTACCCTCACACAGTTTATAGTCTACGATGTCAGATAATTGCCCAAGTTCAATACTGATTCTACCAAATGACAGCAGATCTAACTTGGCCTAGGATGTCAGGAAAGTGGGGCTATAGCATGTTGGGGGAGGCTGTGAATTAAAGCAGACTCCAAGCCACAGTAAGGCAAGGGCTGTTTTCCTTGCTCACCACTATATTCCCAGAACCTAATACAGGTGCTGGCACCATGGGCTTTGGGGTGTTTATTTGTTCATTTGTTTTTTTCCTTTTTTGAGGGCAGGCTCGTCTTGAACTATTATGTAGCCCAGACTGGCCTTGAACTCACAGCAATCCTCCTGCTTTAGCCCCCCAAGTGCTACCATTACAGATGTGTGCCACTACGTCCAGCTGATACTTTAAGAGCCTAACAGTTATCTGCTATATAAGAATGCAGTGGTATCTCAGTTTAGAAGAGTAAGTATGAATTTGACAGGAAAAATAAGGGAAGAAAGAGAATTCACAAGAAAAAATGATCATATATGGCTCTGGGATTACAAATTCAGGGTGAATCCATTAGTACAGAAAGACATAAATCTGAGACTTTTCATGAGTTTAAAAGTTTTTACAGCCTACCCTGGAAAACTAGTTATGATGTCATCACTGTTTATATAAAAAAAAATGTTGTTTAAACTGTACTCACGGATATCTCTCCAGTATGTACGCCTTTTTGCTGAAGGCGCAGAGGTTCCTAGTCTTCTGCAACAGATGACACAATAAGCAGCCAGGGACATTCTATATAAGAAGAACAATTACAACAAATTTAACTTAGCATCTAATTACCAACACTTTTAAAATTGTAAGAACACACTACCAGCACAGTAGACTTCCTATAGAGTTCAAATTTTCAAGACAAGGAAAAAATCTTTTCTATTAAAAAGTGTTTTCCCTTAAAAACAGACTTACTAGAATAAATTTTGCTAGTACTTTATTCTTCAAAACGTGTCCAATTTTGAGTAGTAATAGGAAACCAGAAAAATAAGGATTAATCAGAATTTTTAAAATGTCTTTTAAGAATACATACAAAGTGTGATCAACATACACGGCTATTTAAATGTTTAAAAATTTATTACACTGAAAGATCACGTTAATGCCCCTCGAACTACTCTTTGATCATTCTTGACACTTTCTGAAGCAGTTCTGGAAGTTTTCTTTCTCAAGTGTCTTTGTGACATGTGATAAAAAATTGCATGAATGGTGCTGCTGAGTGCCATCCAACAGCAAGACAGACTCGGAAAAACACTGTGGTGTGTCCTCATTACCTTATCCAAAGGCTCTGACACTGCACGTTGTGGGTCTTTCTCAAAGTCAAAATGACCAGAAAGGCAAACATTCTGAATCAATTCCTGGTCGAGACGTCCTCAACAGTGCAACTAAAGACACTGCAAAAAAGGACTTACAGAACTGCTTCCCAAAGCGGCAACAACAATAGCATAAGTAGGTTCAAAGCAAGGGATGGTATTTTGAGGGGAATTAATGGCCATGCATGTTTTACTGTAATATTTACTGTAAATATTTAATATAATAAATACTGTGATATAATAAATACTGTAAATATTTAATATAATAAATACTGTAATATTTACAGTAAATATTTACAGTAAATATTTAAAAAATTTAGACCCTTACTGTATTTTTATCACACCACACACACACATAAAATGCATTTATCTTGATAACTAGAGGCCCTACAGAAATGAAAAGTAGCTCTGTACAGAAGACATATTTAGAGAACCCACAGAATTATTTAGCTTTTCTCCAGCTTCTTAAAGATCATATACCAACTTTCTTCCTCTCTTCTCCTCCTCTCCTTTCCTCCCCTCCCCTTTTCTCTCCTTCCTTCCTTCCTTCCTTCCTCCCTCCCTCCCTCCCTCCCTTTCTTCCTTCCTTCCTTCCTTCCTAGACAGAGTCTTGCTGTATAGTTCAGGCTTGCCTTGAGTTCACTATTTAGCCCAGGCTGACCTCAAACTCGTGGTGATCTTCCTATCTCAGCCGCCCGAGTACTGGGATTACAGGCAATCACCACCAATATTCTTTAAAATCTTTGAAAATTGCTGACTTATTTAACTAAGCAAAGAATGATCAAAGTATGATGAAAATTTCTAGAACAACTTAGTAATCTAGACCCGTATTAGATTGTCTTTGGAGACTTTTTTTTTTCTTTTTCATTTTGCTAAAAGGGTAAGAAAGGAAGATGCCTTGAGAAACTCATGAAAAATGATTCTTTGGGTCAACATATTAAAAACTTCTAGCAGCTCTACAAGAATTAGGGAGAGTTAGTTGGTGTACACAAAGAAGAAACACCTGTTAGAGGTAATACAAAACAAGAAGACTGTAAACTGTTTAACTGTCATTCCATTATATCAACTGGTGACCAAGCAAACCAAACCTGGCAATAGGTAAACTTGGAAAAGTCCCTGTTTGAAAGGTCATTGTAGCTTATGTTTCCACTTGTCTAATCGGTGGTTGCCACTTCTCTGTGAGACTTACATGATGGTAAAAATGATATAAAAACTATACTGATGTGTGCTCACAGAAACCAAACAACACTTGGGTAGGTATAGTGGGCTATAATCCCAGCACTCAGGAGGGTGAGGCAGGAGAATTGCTGCAAGTTCATGGACAGCCTACACTACATAGTGAGACCCTGTCTCTAAAAAATGAAAAAAAAAAAACAAGTAAGACTTGAATATCAACTTGTATTTTACTCTATGAATACTACACTAAAAGATGTAGAGCAAACAGGTACTGCTTCTTTTGACCTTGAAACCTACTATGAAAACATTATACAAATGTCCTTTATGATTATTTCTTGCCCTTTCTAGCTACTACTGACACTGTCTTTTAGTTTTATTCTCACATTCCAGTTACTCTTTCTCAGTCATTCAGTAAACATTTACTGAGTACCTACTACCTATTAGGGACAGGAACATGAAACACGAATGTGAAGGCAGAGCTCCTGCCCTCATTGAGCTTATGAATGGGTCTGTGGGTGGCCTCCAGTTAGCTTTTAAATATTAATACTGCCAGACAGGGGTGGGGCACATGCCCATAACCCCATCATTCTGGAAAGCTGAGGCAGGATTGAAAATTTGAACCTTGCATGGGCAACTTTGTAACTTAGCAAGATCCTGTTTAAAAAAAGGGGCGGGGGGTGATAATGAAGCTAAGGGCAAAAGCCCTGGGTTCAATCCCCAGTACTGGGGAGGGGGAAATAAATAAATCTAAATATTTACCATTTTGCCAATGTCTCCCCTTACTATTTGTTGTTGTATTCACACTTTCCTTCTGGGTTCAAATCATTCCTGATAAACGTTCTGTCTATCTATTGATAGAAGCTTTTCCAATAGGGTCTATGCTTTAACACTCAGACTTATTTCAGACATGCTAAAAAAAAATAGCTATCTTTTAAGTTCTGGATTTAGAGTTTAAAATAGCATTATGTTTCCATCTGCACAGAATGGTATTTCTTCTTTTGCTCAAGAGAAATCTATGGTTAAGTCAAATTATTATTTCTTTGTAGGCAAAACAATAGCAAAACGGTTAAGAATGTATTCTGTAGAACTTGCTGCCCAATTTCAAAACCAGTTCACCAGTAACTTGGCTTTTTGTTTTTTGTTGGTTTTGTTTTTTTCTTTTATTCTCTTTTTTTGCTCCTAGGGATTGAAGCCAAGGTCTCAGTCAAGCATGCTAGGCTAGTGTCCTGCCACTGAGCTATGGTCTTTTTTTTTTTTATTTTGAGACGGTCTGGCTACCTTGCCTAGGCCAATCTAGAACTTGAAGTCTTCCTGTCTTAGCCTCCTGGGTAGCTGTGCCACCACATCTAGCTTCACGATTTCTATTTTTTAATGCTTTGACTTCACAGAGTCTTGTGTACCCAGGGGTAACTGCCCTGCCGGCCTAACTATTAAGGGTAGCAAAGACCTTGCCTACCAGCACACCTTTCATATCCAAAGTAACCAAACTGGAGTCCATAACCCCTTTACCTCTTTTATCAAACTCCTACATAGCAAGTCAGTATTCCTCTGAGCCTAAGCCACCCCGAGGAAGGCACCAAACAACTAGGGACCACTCCTAGCTCAGAGCCTGCTAAAATTATTCCAACTACCCAGTCCTTACCTACTCTGTCTCATTCTTTCATTCCTATAAAATCCACAAGCACACGTGTGGCCCTTATGCCCCTTGACTGACTCTGCAGTGCCCCACCGGCCCCTGCACAGAGTGTCCACTATCCCTTGGGAATTATAAGTAGCAAACTCAATTTTTCAAAGCAGTTGTCCCTGTATCAGTCATCCTACTATACCTTGTTTAAAAGTTACATTTTGAAACAAATCATGGGTTAATTTCCTTCTCTGTGACTTACTTTTCTCATCTATTAAATGCAGAAGAGGCTGGATATAGTAGCACACACCCAGCATTTGGGAGGCTGAGGCAGGAGGATTGCCATGAGTTTGAGGCCAACCTGGACTACAGTGAGTTCAAAAGCAGCCTGAACTACACAGTGAGGCTCTGTCTCAAAAAGCCAAAAATAAATATGTTTTTACAATTCTCTATTCTATGTCTCTGTATGGGTTCATTTTTATATATCCTGCTCAGGATGTAGTATGTGCCTTCAATCTCAGAACTCATATCTTTCTTCATTTCTGCAGTGTTCTTTAATGATTAAATTCTGACCCCCATTCTTTTTTTCCTTCTAATATTACTATTATATGTATACTAGACTTTTTATTCTATCCTTCAAATTTCAAGTTGTTCCGTATTTTCTACCTTTTCCTATCTGACATGCATTAAAGTTTCCCCAAATCTATTTTCCAATTCATCAATCCTCTGCTTAGCTGTATTTAGTTCACTCTTGCCCAATCCTTTTGTTTCTTGTGTTCAAGTGCAGTCATTTTTTGTTTTTTAATAGCTAAATAAATTATTCTCCTTCCTGTACGTACATTCTTTGGTGGTGCCCCCCAGACCGCCTACGGCCTTATGACTGACTTTAGCCACAGGACAGCAGAAACAAGACACAAGCTAAGACCTGAAAAGCACTGGCATATGCAGGCTTCTGTCTTGCTGCTCCTGAATATAGCCACCTCCCCCCATATAAAGAAGTCCAAATTAGTCTGCTGGATAACAAGACACATGTTGAGTATTCTCATTAATATAAATACCAAGTGAGAGCCAGCACTAACTGCCAGGCATGGGAAATCACGCCAGACTAACCAACTCCAGCTGACCCTATAAACCCTTTATTTAACCTGTGGAACTCTAAGCAATACTAAATAGCTGTCTTAGCCACTGGGTCTTGGAATGGTGTATAAGGTTGCAAAAAGCTAACTGATACAGTATCTGTGGTTTCTAAGCTTTCCTTTAGGCTTTACACGTATTTATTTTACAGTCCTTGTGTTGGAATCACTATTTGTACAATTAGGGCTGAGTATCTTTCATAGATTAAAAACCCTACGACCACAAGAGGTATAGATTTAGAGTGCAAACTTCCACTCTTTCAACTAAGTTTTGAGCTCTTTCTTTCTCCTCATGAGAAGAAATTTTCTAGTCTCTGTTTCCTTGACAGTTTAATCCTTCAAGACTAAATTGTTATTTATTGAAATTCAAGACTAAATAAACTGTTAGGCTAAACTAACTTTACATGCACATAGCCTCTATCACGTCCTGATAATCCTTAACTTGCCTCAACTTTCTCCCTCAGTACTCACTTTCCTCTTCCTTCTTGCAATTTAGAGTTC